ATCGCGCAGACGTGACTTGGCCCAGGCATACTTTGGAGTGCCATCAGGTAGGCATTTATGGTACTTTGCGTTGTCCATGACGATAACGACATTCCTTTTCCCCAGGGCTTCCAATTGGTCGAGCAACGTGCCAAACCAGTCAACGAAATATGCATGGTTGAACATGGCGTGGTAGTCTTTAGGTTCTTTGCGTCGTATTTCCCCCCTTGAAAAATGTTGAGGGCAAGTAATTTCGAGTTGTCCACTCCGTCGTCTAGTATCGCTCCAATAAAGCAATATCGTTGTCCCTTGTGTTTTGCTTTTTCTTGCAGGTCTTGTTCGTCATTTGGATCGTATGAACTATCTTGATGACGAGCGTAGTGGTGATGTACATAAGACTCGTCCAGATACACAACCGGCGGTGGATTTTCGCAAAAATGGTTGACACCATATTCGCAATGTGTTTGTCACGGACCATTGCATTTTGTTTCTCCAACGCAAACGTCAGTTGACCTTTTACTTTGCCCCGTTCGAAACTGACACGAACCAAAAATCGGTGCACAGTACGACATGCTGACACCATTGCGCGGGGATTGTCGCGGTCGACATCGACAATGTTGTTTTTTTGTAGTAAAGCTACCACGTCTTTTGCAACTGTCCGCGTCCTGGTCAAGCGGCGGTCCCGAACAAAGGACTGTACGAGCGAGATAACTTTTCTTGTCGTAGCGCAGCAACAATGGTGACAAGCACATCCGTGTTGGTCCGAGGTTCTGAGACCTTTCTTTCAGTTCTCAATACAATGATTTTGGTGCTTCATTGCGTGCGAAAGTTGCTTCAACTTGTTCGTCTTCGAGATAAACGGCTTACGTCTAACAGCAGCTTAAACACATAGCCCAATTTCCTTGATACGTCGACGAATTGTGACGTCGAGATGCCCTTCTTCTGAAATACTGCATAAGTATCCTTCAATGCTTCGCACTAACAACTGTAAGTTAACGGTTTGCATGGACTGCTCTCGAAATAATTCGGTCGTCATTGGGTGTAGTACAGCCAGTACGCGCGGAACCGTCCGGGCCATCCAAGTTGAACATTTTCGTCCGAGAAGACAACTTGACGTCAAAAATCCATCTTCGCCATGTGCTTTGCCGCGAAAGCACGACGCGCCTTCTTGTGATGCGGCTTCAGATACGGCGCCGGCTTCTTCTTCGCGTATTTGATGAACTTGCTTGATTTCAGCACGTTGAGCACAGTGCGGGCAGTCACCCGCACCGATAGTGTCTTGGCGCTTTGCGCTGCTGACAAGTTTCGTACGA